AATGTACATATATGCCATCAGCTTTGTAGCCTTAACAGCGCGACATTAAATTCCAATTCAAGTTAAGTTAGATGCTCTGTATTGGCCCCAGCTCAGCAGTCGGCACAGAGGCCAAATATCAGCATCAGCAACAAGCAATTTCCTTCAGCACAGTCAGCTGCTTGGCAAGGCTACAGCAAATCGCTGTGAGTGTCTGATTGCCTAAATGTCTGACAACGGAATTCATGTGTGAAGTGACCGGTTTTGCGCCCGAAAATTTCGAAAATTGCTCACTTGTGACAAATGGTTTGGCTCAACACAGACAGCATTCGTGCGCTAACTATGAAAAAATAGCCCTGTCTATCCATTCCAAATTTCATCAATTTTTATTTATTTGATTTAGTAAATCGACATTGAATTTTTGTTCAAAGAGTTGTAATTCGAATTGCGGGAGATAAAATTAAAACGTCAGCATGATCCGATTGGTGTGACTGAATGCTTTATATTATATAAGGCAAGTTGAAAAAATTATGTATGTATTATGAGTACACTTGTCTTCAGACTGTTCAAACCTTTCCATATATACTGCATTTAGTTCTTCCGCCTCTAGTATGAACTGAGTTAAATTGGTATATTCTTACTACAGAAACTTAGAAAATATGCAAAGAAGACCTAAAATCGGATTAATTTTAAGATTAACTGGAGCATCAAAAGTAGGTTCTTATATAGGAGGTAGTTAGTTTGCATAGGTGCCATTACAGGAAGAAAGTAAGAAGTAAATGCAGCAACTCAGCTTCAGGTTCAATATCCATGCTAATCTGCAGTGTTCCTCCACGAGCTTTTCTTTGAATAAATAATTTTCAAACGGCTAGCCAGTTAATAAAAATTGCACGCAATAAAATGTTAATCATACGCCCCGGCAAATGTGTACCCGACGTATTACAATAATCTTAGGACCATAAAATAGTTATATCCCTTTAACATTAAAAACTTTATTTAACTTTTTCACATAATTCTTCAATAAAATTAACCAGGTAGAGCGCCAAGTTAAGTTATCGATCAGAATTCGATTCACTAAGTTTTGCACTGCCTAAAAATGAGGAACTAAAGCTTCTAGTCATAATTATCCCAACAATGCAGATAAATGGTTACCTTAACTAAAAGAGTTGACAAAAATCCGTAACAATAAGTAACGTGTATAAATCGGCAATAACTCTATTTGTTTTCTCGTTTTAATAAACACTTGTATACTTACCTAATAACATGAATCTATTCAATTTCTGAGTTTTTTTCCAAACCTTTCGAGTATGTAATACTATTTGATATATTCGAAACTTAATTGCAGTTTCCATTTTTAGAACTAAACTTAAAATTAAAAGAAAATATTACTTTCGCCACGTACATACATATGTACGCACCCATGATGCAAAAACTAATTGTACGAGTAAGCTCAACTGCTCTGCAAGCATTACACTTTCATCAAAAAGAAAGATCGCAAAATTAAAATGGAAAATAACTGCATACTCATGTGTGCACACAAATACACGTCCGTATGATGAACAATATCTCTTTAGGTATATATAAAGAATTTTAAAGACCCACACAAAAGTGGCGAAAATTAATTGCTGTTTCCGTAGGGCTGGCAAGCTACTTTGCACTGCCAAGAAGCTTTCACCCGTCAGTCTCTGTATAAAGCGCACACCAATCTTTTAGCATCCCTCCTGCATCCCCGGCCTTATTTCCTATAAATGTATGTAGTTTTTCTAATGCCAGTGCTTGGGTAAATTCCATAAAGTGTGGCGAGCACACATGCCCATCAAATGCCTTATCAGTAAGAGGTTAGGTCGACCAGTCCAGGCCAAGGGACCGGATGACCACACAGTCGAGACAATAAGATACAAAAGCAAAGCAGGCGGCTATGTGGTGTAGAATGTTCGACCGAAGAGTTTGAAATGGCAAGTGTTGTTGCACAGCCTGAGTTCCATGAGATGAGCCTGATAAAGATTTCAACTAGTTGCTCGCACATGACAACGTGCATGCATACATATTAGTATTATATATGAACATATGTAGTTGGTTGACTCTCACCAATATTGCCACATACATAATTGTTGTGACTTTACAATTTAAGCGCGGCCAACACTAGGAAAAAAGGAGGAGCACTTCCGAAAATCTGTTCAGGGGTCTCAAAGCCTCGATTATATTTATTATGTATTATTTTTTGCCAAAAGAGGCGCGTAAATGATTATATTTCGAGGGAGACTTCTTAACAGTCGAAGATTCAAAAGAGTTAAGCCCGTAGTGCGTAATAATGGCGATCGACCGTGAAAATTAACAAATTTAGGTTATGTTGTGTGCTTGTATGTACAGCTTTGAGCAAACACTCTTGCAAAATCTACACCTAAAATCTTGTCGCCAGTAACAGCGTACGCGAGAAGTTGTTTGCGGCCTTGAAGGAGTAAAGCTTCTCACTGGTTCGTCGAGCACCCCTTAACAGCTGGTTTGGTAGTACGCAAAATAATCGACCCGAAATGAATAGCAAACGTAATGTCGGTCATCGCTACATGACAAACTCTGTCTGTTCGTAACTTGGCATACAGCGGCGCACAGTTCCAGACAATAAACGTTGCCGCTCCGTTTGGAATGTGGCAGGCAGCGAGTCCTGGTAATGGCAATTAAGTTAAAGACGCGGCTACGAATGTTGTCAGAAAACGTTGTTCCTCACTAACAGTAGATTGAAGCTCAAGCTGTGAGTGGTACCTTGAAAGAAGGGCAAAAACGTAACAGCAAACGCAGCAGCGGCGGTGAGGCGTGGAAATGCAAAACATAATATATGAAAGGCAAACGCTCGAGTGCCCGACAAAGCGTTGGCATTTGGCAAACAAATTAAAGGTAAATTATGGTGTTATTAACGTTCGCGAGAGGGAGAGAAGAAATTAATGTGCACGTATAATGCAGACAACAACAATCCGCGCAAAGTAACGGCGGGCTTTATGGTGTTCAAGTTCTTGTTTGATTGCTCAGATGTCTTGAAAATGTGCTTGTAGTGCGCTTTTTGTTATTGCAATTACTTTTTCAAACTCATATTTATTTATGTATATGAGCGCCTGAGTGCATATTTGAGCAAAAGTCTGCAAGCAATTATGTACACATTTCTTTTGTGTTTGCTACATAATTATATATTTATATTTATATATATAAGTATATATGTAATTGGCGCTTTGTAACCACTGAAGCGATTTTCGGACGAGCTCCTCTTCTAATTTGTGGTATGCGTCTTGTTGTTTTTTTTCAACAAAGGGAGGGACCTACAGTTTATTCGAAGCCGCCCCCAACGGCTGATGGTTTTTTATAGCGAACTTTTATTTCATGCCAGAAATACACTCGGAGGGCTTGATATACTCTGCCGAGGGGCGAAAAAAAATAATTTTAGATTTTGATCGAACCAAGACTCGAACCCTGGCCTAATGCACAGAAATTTGATGAATAATAGAAATATGACAAAGTCCTTTGTGAAGACCCAGACATCCACGGTGTGTGCCCGTGAAAGCACGATCTAAGATTAGAAATGGGAAAAAGAGTAAAGTAGTATCGTTTTTTGCTCAAACGTCGTCATAGTTCGAAGTAAATATTTATTTTCAATGATCTGGGCTCGTGTACGTTGCCTTCGGTGCAAGGAGTTAGGCTATTCCTCCTTATATTGATTTATAAGTATTTGTTATTGCTTTTGTTTGCTTTATATTCCCTGTCGGTGAGAGAATCTACCAGCGTTAATATATGAGTACACGTACATAAGTATTTCATATTGAAATAAACCGAATTACGTTGCTATGTGTCTACTTCCTTCTACAATTCTTCTCAGTCGTAGAAAGTGTGTATCAAAGTGTCATTAGCAGCCTTAGCGGCTTGACCTTTACTTGTAACACAAACTTTTTGGTACGCTAATTTCCTTCACTGATTGAGTTTTGTAACATGTTTTGGCTGCAGCGATGAAGCCGGCACGTAAATGTTCGCAGAACCGACAAAAAATATTTGTATACGCAGAAAAAATTTTGGTATACTTTGAACAATTCCAAAGTCGTTCAGAAACTACATACCTACAAAAGTTCCTTCACATTTGCATATTCAAAACTTCATATATAACATACGTATGTGTGAATATATTCTAAGCAAGGCTGAAATTAATTTATTGCGTGTACCTGGAGCTCCTATTTATGGGTTTTTTTCCAAATTTCAGAGCAAAAAAGTAACAAAACAATGATATTCCAAAGACATAAACGGTGCCCATTGCATTATATTCCCTACACCCGCTTTTAATCAACCGAAATGACTATTGATTGAGATTAGAGTGTTTCCAAAACTTGCGAGTGTTATGCGTAAGAAAGACTTCCCAATTCTGTCGTTTTGATACGCATATGAACTTTTGCAGTTTGTTAGGTAAATACGACGATTTTTCATGGCCAGATGCATTTTACCCTTTACTTAGCTGCGGTTATACGTAGCAACGGAAGGAGATTATATAACTATAAACATGTCTATATATATACTCAATCTCAAACAACTATCCCAGCGATTTTTTTAATTTCTGAAAATTGTCTATGGAAATTGTCGATGGCATGTGAAATATTCTCTAATTAAGTTAATGCATAGACGACTTAAGAAATCTCCCTCAATTTAACAGTTTATTTCTTTCCGGTTATTTCTCACTGTGAATTTTGAAGCTTAAATTTCTAGATCAAGCATCATAGCCTGATTTGGTTAGATAAGACCACATTTTTTTGTCGTCTGATTAATTTCTACAAGCTTCGCAATTTTAAAGTCTTAATTATACTCGGAGTTATTGTCTTAAATCTAAATCAATTAGAAAATTTATCGAACTAATTGACAAATCACCTGAATGGAAAGACCTTTCCCTTTTTTTAATTTTTTGTTTGTACTTTTTACTATTTTTGTCTCTGCCTTTTATATGTATTGTACGTGTATATACTCTGTGCTCTGAACGAAAATTTGTTTGTACTTACGACGAGTTTCTTCGTTGGAATGGTGGCGGGAGCTGCTTGTATTGCCGCTGGTGGACTGATCGCTTTAATCGCCTGCGTTGGCGGTGGAAAAATCTCCGCTGGCTGCTTAACGTAAAACAGATTTACTCCAAAGTGTGAAATTTTGTTGGCTTTTAGTTAACGCGTCGGAAGAGAAATTAGCAACACACGCACGCACACAAGTACACGAGCTGTGTAACAGTGCCTAAGCGGTTTGGTGACAATTCTTGGTAAAGCTCTCCTTAAAAAAGTTACAACAGCCTGTTTTACTTGCAGCGCTTCAGAGTTGGCGCTTAACACACAAATACACTGCCGTCGGCCAAACGCTGACAATAAACTGATTTAAGGCGCCTAATACGGAACGCGATTTATCGCAAGGATTACCCGCAGAAGCTTTAAAGCAGAGCAAAGAAACACTAACTTTGTGAGAAGCGACGGTCTCTGCGATGGCAAAATGGCACCTTATTAATGCTTTGATAATATATTTGCTTTTTATACACGTTTGCCTTTATTTGCGTTTGTTTGAGGATACTGAGTTTCTCAGTTTATATCTCAACGGTTCTTTTATTTATTCTGCTTATTGCATTGGTGTATTAGCAAAGTTTTATTATTTTAGTTGTTATTGATTGACTATTTTAATCCAAGCTGAGAAGTTGCTGCAAATTACTAGCAATTTAGTTTCGATTTACTCGTTGTCGTTTTACTACAGTTAAGCAGTTCCTTAGACGCGCTTTCGCTGTTATAACAGTTAACCACTAACAGAGAACAACACTTAAGCAATAAGGAAATAACACTAACAAATTCCAAAAAGCACACTCGCACGAAAATCCTGATTGGTTTTCAAATACTTGCCGGCTTCTTAGCAGTTAAAGCAGGATATGATCCAGAAGTTGGCTTATTTGAGGTCTTTTTCTTTATTTGTTTATATTTCCTTTGCACACATTCATATGTGAACAAAGTTCTATGTAAATTTTTGTGATTGTTTGAAGCGGAACTGAGTCTAAATCCACACTAATTCTGGTGTAATCTGTTTTTCACTGAGTTTATGCGAAAATAACCAATCTAATATTTTTTACTTATCTTTTCAATTATTATTTACTATTTTATTCGTTTGTTTAGCTTATTTACAATTTGTGTTTGAAATTACCCAGCAAAAAAAATAATTCACAACTACTTACGAAGCTCTTGAAATTTACACTAAAGCTTTACAAAGATTTATTTACTTTTTGTATATTTTTGTTGTTGATGTTGTTTTTGTTATTTTTCTTTTTTTTTTTTTTTGCTTTGTATTTATGTGATTGCACTTGAACGCTTTTCGAAACTTAGTCGATATATTCAAAGAAATTAAATTCAATTCAATCCGCTGCGGTCTGATAATACATTGGATTATTGCAAAAGAGAGTGGGAGAGTGCGCGGTATTGAATAAAGAAATTGCCTTCTAATTAATATTTTGATTGCAGCATACAGATTTATAACGCTTTTACTGTGGCTTTGGCTTTGCTTTGCTTAGCTCTAAATTGCTTTATATAGATACTTTTTGCTATTTTTGCTTGTAACGGTGTGGTTTGCTAAAGTGGTTTGAATCAACTAGGCTACTTTTGCACGACGGCTAAGGAACGCAACGACTGATGGACTCGCTTGTCTGATAACGACTGATGAAACTGAAGCTGAACCAGCAGGCAGAAGCGCCAGCAGCGGTAGCCACTGTACGGCCTTTGGGAGGCGATTGCGGCAGACAGTGTGTGAAACGAAAGTAACGCCAGCGTCAACGACGACAAAATGCACGAGCGCCAACACGAAAACGGCAAACGAGGTGATAAGGACGAAGTTGGAGCACACGATAAGATGAAGCGCGGGCCGCACAGAAGGATGTAGATGGAGGAGGAGAGGCATGAAGCGCCTTTCCGTATGCTCTCTGAGCATATAAAAATTCTTTCGGAGCTCAGTATTAACTCACACCGGCAAAATGAAAATCAGAGCGTTCCACTGCTTGTGTGTTGGTGAGCAGCAACAACATTTCGGAGTATATATCCCGGTTTTGCTAACCTGATACAGAGCTGCCAAATTATTGGTATTTAAGCTACTTGCTCAAGCTAGTTAACTCGGCCGAAAATCGCTTCAGCGTTTACAATATCTTTACAAAATATTTTTATCAACATCAATTAGTTAAAGGAAGTAAAGCAAAAATGCGTTCAGTCACTTAGAGAGGGAGAATTAACAAAACAGTTTCCTGTCCTGTTTGAATAAAATGCAACTTGCCAACTTGCACGTCATCGTACCCTCATACGGTATACCGTAATGGAGTCGATCGATTTGCATTCGTAAGCAAAGCACGAAAATTGGGGGAGTATATGTACTTATGTATGTGTGAGGGGGACACAAACACACAAGCACAAACACATACACCCAAATCAGAAACCACCCCAATAAGGCTGATTGTTAACATAAAGCGACTGACAGTAAAATTTTTCTCTTACGTACATCCCCTTCCACAATCGCTACTTGCCATCAGATGTAGCCCCTTTGCCCTCTGGACAAAAGTGTAAACAGCAACAAAGTTCACTTTCACAACCTTCGTTGAATGCGTTGTAATCGAAGGCCATCAAAGGCCGTTTACAAAGTGAGCGCGAGAGCACTGAGAGCAGTACTGATTGTGCACAAGTTAAAGTGGAAATTTCTCTGAGCGCCTCGAAGTATGCAACATTTTCTCCAGTAGTTTTAGACTTTTTATTTGCTTTTTAGTGTTTCTCGCTTATTGCGGGTGTTAGACATTGAACTTTACATATATATACTGTGCTACAGGCATAATTTGGACCCACTCTCGGCATAGCCGTGCAACAGCAACAACGCGGCTATGTGCTGCACCGATGTGGGTGTAGGAGTACGCTTATGAGCGACGTAATTTGCTGAAACGCAAAAACAATGGAAAATGCAACGACGACGGCAGTCTAATTCGTTGTTGGCTAATAAGGAATATTTTTTTAATATTTAGTCAGTTTGCTCTTGCATAACATAAATGCCCCCCGCCCCCCCCCTTCCCCTCTCACCCTTCCCATTGAGAACGTAAACAATATCTGTACATACGTATATCTTCTATGATTTCTTAAAAGAAAAATCTGACTAGAATGCAATTGTGGCTTGATTGTTATTCTGATATAAAAGTAATGCTCATTCTCAGCTCCAATGCAACAGCAACAAAAAATTACATACGAATTCAAACGCAAACAGTATTGCAAATAAAATTTCTCTCGGTATTTATGTATTTAATGGAATAATCTGAACACAACTGGCACGCAAAGCGACCAACAACAGTAATACGAGTTTGAAAAGTAAAATCAGCTCAAAAACTGTGGGAATTTTTGCTGTCAATGTTACGTATGCGCAGGTGCGTGCCAAATTAAAAGGCATCCTGCCAGTGACGTTGCAATCATTCCGATCCTCCCTCCTCTCCTCCAACCGAACCACCTACACCATGCCAATTTGCTTTTGCATGGAAACATGAAGTAAGTAAAAGACACAAACGAAGCCGTGCAATTAAAATGTCAACGACTGAAGAGACAAGTATCACATATTAAAAATTTATAAAACTGAAGAGAAAAGAGCGCTCATAATGATTATTGCCTATTATTGAAGTGGATGTATTAAAGTCCTTGGAAGAAAGAACTCTTGTGTGGTAAATATCTAATCAAGCCTACTAACAGAAAGACCAAAATAAACGCAGGCGCACGAGTTCCCAGCGAAATATCAATCTCAGGGCATCGCGTGGTAAGCGTCATTTTCCATGAAACAGAACGCTCGTCTTTGGTGCAGCTCTTCACGTAACGAATTTTTCCACAAGCTGCGTAATAACTATGAATGTCGTCGTTGCAAGAAGATGCCCCTACCCCACACCTCTAGTCAAAATTGCCAAAATCACGCAATGCTAAAGTGTCAACTTGACATTGCGCTAAATGCGTCAATGTCTTTACTCGACTCCCTTGCCTCATTTCCACCGTTTACTGCAAATCAAATGTATACACATATTTATATACTCGCATATACATCGCAAAGAACCAGCCAGCCAAACACTCACTCATCAGCCAGCCGAGTAATGGCAGCGGTTGACTAAAGCAGCAGCCGACGCGCTATTTTAGCCGTAAATAACTGCTTTGTGAATCCTCCTGCTTCCGCCATACACACAATCACGTTCGCACGCATGTACGCATATACATGCCAACTTCCACCTTTACGAGCAAACTGCCGGCGGGTCTGCCAGTGACTCGACACGAGTCGACATTCCAACAGTTAAATCACAAATCGCAAAATGTTGCAAACACAACAACACAATTGTCAAGAAGACATAACTATCATACCAACACACGCTCATGTACATACGTGTACATATCTAGTGACAAAAGGACTTACTGCAAGCAAATAGAGCGAAAGAGTATTCTGAGAGAGGAAATAAACAAGTGAAAGCGGAAGCGTGCGTATGTGGGTGGAGGGTGATTGGATGTGTGCTCACGGAATTTCGGAACATTTATTGGCAAAAAAGCGCAAAATCTCCATTAACTGCAGAGACTTTTTCCAAATTACCAACACTGACACATGAAACACATAATCCTACAAGCCCGTATATCAGAGCAAGTTTAGTTGGAACGCAAACACTTTAGGAACACCATAAAAACATTCCTCCATACGAATTGCTTGTAAACGAGTTTCTCACACGAAGAGAGCGCGAGAGTTGATGCTAGAAAACTTGTTCATGCGCAGGAGAGCGATGAGAAGCATTTCTGCCAGCAAATTCTTATACTTCCCGCCAAACATAGCAGTAACAACGGTATCGAAAAAATAAGCGTGCTCAGTTTTATATCACCAACAATGACGCGGCTGCTGCCATGACAGCATTATCAGTACTGATTTTCCGGAAACGTATATGCAACCTTGTAGGAATTTCAAAAGGCTTCACAAAATAGACAATATACATACATATTCCTAATATATACTCTTTAGAAATTAACTTAGATTTTGGCTAGCTTTTCTTAAGCGAGGGTCAATTCACGACCTGCGCACAAGTGGAATAAAATAAAGTTTCTCATTTTCCTTATAATGGATCAAAATGATTAACATTCCGTCTTTTTCAAAATTATAATCGATCGGATCTCAAAAAAAAAAAAATTCTTAGCCTCCCTGTCCCTTAGTGAACTACTTAAAGTTGAATACAATATGGCGGCAGCGATAGCCGAGGAGTTTACAGAATAATTATACAAACGAGTTTGTCTGGATGTAAGGGAATCCTACTTTAGTCTATCATATCCACATACTTAGTAAAAAGGAAGGTTAAGATCGATTGCGTCTTTAGTAAGGCTGATAGAAGGCATTACAGGGGCGCGCATACTCATTATAGGGCTGAATTCTTTTTGTATTAAATTCAGTTGTTAGAAAGTTGTAGATGTCAGCTGATTTTAAAGTTTCAAATAGACCAAGATCACTTTGATTATATTATATAATACTTTGATGTGTGAGTTAAACTAAATTGTTATTTTTCTGAAAAGTTTGCCTAAAGGGGGACGATTATGTAAGTTTGAACCCGATATGACCAAATCCGGGTGTTGGAAAATTTTTTAAAATAGTCGATTTTTTACTAATCTGATCTGATTTAATATAAACTAAAGACTCCCACCTAACGATATTATTTTCAGTAGATCATCGAATTTCGACTTCCAATCAAACAACTGTTTGCATAAAACTATTACATAACATCAAATTCTTTTCGAAGCTCGGAGCCAACAAGCAGCTAATGTCTACTGTCAAGGTATTTTACCTGATTTCTATTTAATCGTAAATTCGCATCCATCTGAAACCAATCGATTCGCTTTTTCGTTTTTTTAAGTGGCTAAAACTTTATTCTCTAAACTTCGTTTGGCCTCGAAGTTCTGAAAAGTTGCTTTATTGTTTCCCTAAAACGACCTGAAAACTTAAGTTTGTATGTTTAATATTGGCAAACTTACGTTAAACCTGACTACACGAGCTTCTTGAAAGATATAGAACAAACTAATTCGGTGATTATTATATTTAAGAAATTTTGCAAGAACTGTGTTTGTAAGCGCCATTTTTGAAATCACAATATGCTGAGTTTATTCGATGGTTGTGTTCATTAAAGGAATGAGGGCAAGAACATAAGCAGCAAAACTGACCCAAGGGGTCAATCCACATATTATATATATAATTATTACTGCCTGCACCCTGTAACGTTTCGCTATGGCAGATACTCAGTCATAAATTTATTTATTCAATACCTGTGGGTATGGAAAATTTTTGGTTTTACTATCGGCCATGCAAGTAGAAAGGTTATCTGGTATACCAACCCCAGAGAGAAATCCATATTTAAATGATGACCACATAATTTAATAGACAGACCCTTAACTTCATTGATGGTGATGTTGGATAATTGACTACTTCATTTGCTTCCACAACTTGTCTAATGACTTATAAATAAGTGGCAGTCTTAGTTTTTGTAGCGATCCCTATAATCGATTTGATTTTTTTGAAAAACTCCGCAAATCAATTCTCCTTCCGATGTCACTAAATTACAGAAGCTGCCGGGTAGTATTATCAATCCTGAAGTGAGATCAATTGACATTTTCCCGTTCCTCATT